GAGAGAGAGAGAGAGAGAGAGAGAGAGAGAGAGAGAGAGAGAGAGAGATTAGGGGTGTGTTCCGAAATAGTTTTTGGAAACTTTGGTTTTAGTTATAAGGTTGGTCGAACTGAAACTAACTTCGATATGTTCCGTGAACGATCAGCTGATTCACGCGATCAGTCCAAAATCTCCAATCATAAAGTCAATCGCGTGAATCAGCTGATCGTTTGCGGAACATATTTAAGTTAGTTTAAAGCATACCAACTTTATAACTAAAACCAAAGTTTCCGGAAACGATTTCGAAACGCAAGCCACAACGTTAGACGTACCGTAAGAATTGGGTGTATATCAGTTGGACACGGGGCAATTGGACACAGTCCAATCACAAGTCGCTGTTCCAAGGGACCCTACAAATGTCTCTAATCACACGGTGCTATGATTGGTTGTGTCCAAATGCACCGTGTCCAAGTGCACCGCTCCCTTAAGAATTGGCCAATTACAAGAGAGTATTCACCAAAATAGCGACCTTACGGTTCGACGATTCTCTATGAAATTGATCAATTCTTACGGTACGTCTAACGTTATGGTTAAATCAAGTCATGTGTGAAAGCCTTAAGGACCTTCGCACATGAATTGACATAACTATAAACATAACACCAAAACTTAATCTGAAGGATCAATCAGATTATTGCTTTAGGTTTATGCATTCTAAAAGATATAAATTACGACAAAGTTGACTGTAAGCAAAAATAACTAAGATTTCTTTCAACCGGTCGGAATCTGGTTATTTTTGCTTACGGCCAACTTTCCCTGTGTTCCGATATTCATTGGCAGTACTGAAAATCTACAGGTTATGTCACGTATAATGTAGATTTTCAGTACTGTCAGTGAAATCGGAATATAGGGTTTGTCGTAACTTATATCATCTTTTGAAATGCATAAACTTAAAGCAACAATCTTATTGGTCGTTCAGCGAAAGTTACGTATTATGTTTGTGGTTAAGTCAAGTGCGAAGGCCCATATATCCAGGCCGTAATCCGTTAACTTATATCGGAATCGTAAAGCATTGACGAATCACAGTCGATTATTCTTCTATAATTGGACTATGATTGGTCAATTTTTTCTGGTTCCGGCATAAGTTAACGGATTACGACCTGCATAAATGGCCTTTAAATGTTCACAGGAATCAACTATCGATTGTAGGAAAGTGTCACTAAACTACACTTTTCGTAGTACGTACATGTAACAGTTTATTAGCTTGGAGCACTGGGAGAAGTGATATTTGCTCATCAAACAATTTTTAGAGCCTTCTTTGCAAATGTCCACGGCAGTCAATATATCAAAGATCGATATTCAGGGGCTGAGTATCGATACATCAATATATCGAACACTAAAATATCGATATAAATATCAAAATATCGGACACTAAAATATCGATATTTGAAATATTTATACTACTGATGCGGAAAATGGTGTTTAGGAACTAACCGTAAAGACTCCGAGAACCAATATTGAGAGAGAGAGAGAGAGAGAGAGAGAGAGAGAGAGAGAGAGAGAGAGAGAAATATTGATACTGTAGCTGCGTTCCGAAATTCACTGCCAGTACTGAAAATCTATAGTTCATGTCACGTATACTATAGAATTTCAGCACTGGCAGTGAATTTCGGAACGCAGCCTGGAGGTCGATTGTGTATTTCAAACCAGAGTGAAAATGACAAAAGTGAGTAAATTTACTAGAATATTTGTAACTTAATTGGTCAATACCTAGTGAATTTGCTCACTTTTGTAGGCTGCGTTCCGAAATTCACTGCCAGTACTGAAATTCTATAATATACGTAACATGAACTATAGATTTTCAGTACTGGCAGTGCATTTCGGAACGCAGCCGTAATTTTCACTTCGTTTCGAGATACACAATCTACCCCCTATATCGCCCATCACTATTAAAAACCATAGAGAGAGAGAGAGAGAGAGAGAGGAGAGAAAGGGAATCGCATACATATTTACGTATTCTGATATTCTAGCAAGTTTTAAATTTACAATTTCAATATTACATTTCACGAATTTTTATTCTATTTTACGTGATCTTCCACGTAACTGTAAAGGTAAGATTTTATGGAAAACCATTTTCTATTAGGTATCGTAAAATTATCAAGATTTCTAATCACAACTTAACCTAACCTAATTCTGAGCAGGAACAAACAGAAAATCCTATCAAAATGCCAGAAACGGAAGAAGAAATGGGTATGTCGGTTCGTTTAACGAACGATGATTTCCGAAAACTCTTGATGACACCAAGAGCATCGGTACCGTCAGCTACTCCGGCCTCTGTACCTGGTACAGCACGGGATGCCAGTGCGAAGACTGCCCAAACCCCTACTGTCAGTGGAGGCAGTCGTGCTGAATTGCGTAGAAAAAAGAAAAGTTTCTATGCAAAATTGAAAAAACAGGAAGAAGATAAGATGGCAGAGTTAGCAGAAAAGTATAGGGATCGAGCAAGAGAACGCAGAGATGGTACTAATCAGGATTATCAAGCTGAAGATCCCATGAACAGCGCTAGCGCTTACAGAGCCGTTGCACCAGATTTAAAGTCTGGCATGGATGCTGCAGAGCGTAGAAGACAGATGATCCAGCAGTCTAAGTTCTTGGGAGGTGACATGGAACATACTCATTTAGTCAAGGGTCTGGATTATGCCCTTCTACAAAAAGTACGTTCTCACAATTTATTATGCACATCTTTATTATTATTACAGAAACTAGCACTTAAAATTCTTAGCTGATTAAACAATTCAAATTTTTAAATAAAATTTTAAGTTTTATAGTGACATTTTATGCTTCAATTCTTTTATAAATAATTCTAATTTGTATTCAATATGTATTTTTGAACAAAAAATATACCATACAGAGTTTAAAAAGATAAGTTTAAGAAGTAACTCTATCATTGTTTTTTGTTACTCATTGAAAACGGTAACTTCTACACTTTTAGGCAAATAATACAGTACAAAGTTAAGAAAGTCACTTTTAAGAAGTAATGCATTATCTCTGCTCCTCCCTTTACTTAAAAAATAACTTATGATAAATGTTATTCTCATTTGGAAAAGTAATTCTGTATTGTCATCATTATTTAAGAATAAGTTATAATTTCTGTTCCTTTTTAAACCAAATTTTAAAGATCTTTTTAAAATTCACTACTGTCCATTTCATATTAATGTACTCTACATGTTGTAAAAAGTATAATTGCATTATTGGTACTGATAAAAAAACATCATTACCAAACCATTACTAAGAAAAAGTAATTACTAATAAAACTAAGTAAGCGAAGGAAAGTAACTTGTAAGAATAACGGTGTTACAAATAAGGCTTTAATTTTCAATACTGACACAGTACTATTTCATAGGTACGTAGCGAAATCGAGGCAAAAGAACATGAGCAAGAACAAGAAATGGAAAAGCTGGTGAAGCCTAAAGAGAAGGTAAAGAAAGAACCAGAAAAGAAGGACGACGAGATGCTATTTAAAACAAAGATTGGCCGGAACGTGTACAAAACCGTTATGACTATGAAGTCCAAGCAGATCGAGAGGAATGAACTGTTTACACCGGGTCGTATGGCATATGTGATCGAACTGGATGATGAGAACGCTGATGTTGACATACCGACGACACTGATCAGGAGTAAAGCAGATGTGCCAACCATTGACAATACACCCACCCTTACGACTAACGACATTGTCATCAATAAGCTGGCGCAGATTCTATCGTATTTACGCCAAGGTAGTCGGCACAGCAAAAAAGGCAAAAAACCAAAGGATAATGCACGATCGGCCGCACGTGGCGACGAGTTGCACGATATGGACATACAACCGCGACCATTACAACCGGACGACAGCATCTATGGCGACATCGGTGATTACGTACCGACTGTGACCAGCAAAAAAGATAGCACGCAAGTACGAGAGAAGAAGAAGGGTTCTTCATATTTCGACAAGCCACTCGAGCCGAATTTGGATACCGATGACAAGGCAAATGCGCCACAATTGCCACAGGGCGGCGCGTTACTGCAACAGAATGGCAGTGCGGCGGCGACGGATGGCAACGCGCCGAAGAAGGGTGCGTTGCTGAACAAGTTGGCCGCTGAGCCGGAAGGTTACGCCGAGTGTTATCCCGGACTAGACGAGATGCAGGATGCCATCGACGATTCCGACGACGAGGTAGATTATACAAAAATGGATCTGGGTAACAAGAAAGGTCCGATCGGTCGTTGGGACTTCGATACGCCCGAGGAGTACAGTGAATACATGAATAACAAGGAAGCACTACCCAAGGCAGCCTTTCAATACGGCGTAAAAATGGCTGATGGCAGACGCACTAGAAAATACAACAAGGAGAAAAATGAGAAGGCCGAGCTCGATCGAGAATGGCAAAAGATTCAGAATATTATGAACAAAAGAAAACCATCTGCAGCGCCCGAAGGCGCACCCGAATTCAAAGTACCGCGATATTGAACCACCAATTTATTATAATTATTATATACTTTGCTTTTGGCTTTGTATTGAAGGTTTTGAAGATTCGCGACATCTATCAGTCACCATTAGGTTCTGACACTATAAGCGAGAAAAATTGTTCAAGGCGATCATACAATCTAAAAACTCATAAATTCTACGATTTCGTTTCACATGTACATAGGTTATTTCTGGATTTCTGGATAGGGGATTTCTGGATTTTTAAATTATATCATGCATGAAATCATTCACATATAGTAAATTGCGTTTAATTCCAGAAAAAATATGTAATAAGTTAATCGTAGTTAAGTTGCGTGTATATTAATTATTATGTAAAGATTGGAAGCAATCCAAATAACGTAAGCGAGGAAGTTATATATGTTTTATCACATATAAAGTTAATATAAAATATGATTTATTTTATAAAATATGCTCCATCGCGTTAAATGTACATAAACGTTTACACGTCAATCATAACCAGTGATCCTACGGGAATTTGTATGATTGTCGAAAGTAGTTGAAAAATATTAAGAGGATGCTATATTTGAAAAACTTATTTTTTTTTTTTTGTAAAATTGACGTCATATTATTTACACAAAATTACAAATAGTTTTACACAATAAAAATACATACAAAAATTGGAGCATTGCTCAATGTATGACAAAAATAATAAAAATTTCAAAATTGACATCTCGAGCGATTAGTTAATATTAATATTTGCTTGATACAAAAGTTCTGCAGTACAGTCGCAAAACGATTTAGACACAATAAGAGCGTACCGATAATCCACAATGAGAGAACTTATTTTTTATTAATTCATTCTTTTATTGGACTATTAGTTGCATTTTGAAGTTCACTGTGTCTAAATCATTTTGAGGCTTACTGTACATACCGAATATATTTACTTTGGTCAAGAAAACTTCAAAAGACATTACTACATCTTTATAACTAAATTTGAAAGTTGGAAAACATACAAAAACAGACATGCATAAAAAAATATTTGTATATACGTGGTTAAGTTTTTCGTTAAATATAGTTAAAGCAACGCACATTTATATAAAATTTATATATATAAGAAATGTGAAAAGGTGGCCTGATCGTATCCAATATGACGTTATGATGATTGCCTGATATGTTATCGACACTTTTAAAGTTTACATTTTGGTATCCCCTTAATAACTTACTCTATGATTTATTATTATTAATAAAATCATGCACTTGAAAACCTTACTTCGAATAAGTTTGTTGACTGTTGTTCTAGCTGTCGAACGATTTTTTAATTTATTGAAATAAATTGTCAATTAAATAGTTTTAAATTTAATTGGCTTATATTAATTGTCAAGTAAATATAATAATTAAAACAGTAATTACTCGAAAACCTGTCCGTATCAATAGTTATTATTTTAAACTTGTCACATATGAGATATTCAAATTTTTATTCAGAATAAAATCCAATTTTTTCAGTTGAGTTGTGTGATATACATGATATTATATATATATAATCGCGATTTAACTGGAATACTCTCATCTAACTCTGAACTCAAATCTGAGTATCCTACTTCGCATACAGAACAAATATCCGAAACACATGTCATGGATATCCTATAGATATCGCGATTTATAAGGTATCCATGAGATGTATTTTGGATATTTGTTCTGTATGGGTAAGTTTCAAATAGTGACTATCAATAGTAATAACTATCAGGTCAATATGCATATATATAAATAGTAGATAAATCGAGTAACTCTAAGCGCGTGCAATATCGAGATAAAAATCATCACCTCACCGTGTATAATAACTTAAAACCAATTCAAGCCGGTTTGAGGTCGTTAATATAAACACTTCAATCAGTAAACGTTTTTTTCTTTTCATGACCTATAATACTGTTGATATTGGAGTATCTTGAGCTCGATTAAACCAGTTTCGACTTAGTCGTCAGTTTAGTGCTATGCGGAAAATTATTATTATTATAAAAGAAAAACATATATATTTTTTCGGTTGATTTTTCTTCATATTTTCTTGACATGTGTCTGTAGGTGAATGCTATATATATCTGCAAATAAAAAATGTCTTGCGTATTGCTTTGATTACAATATATTACAATAAATGAAACGATAATAAGTAATAAGAACATCTTTCAAGTTATTATTAAGATTATTATTAATTATTAAGGTAAAAAATTATTTAAGCAGCTGTTCAATTGAATTAATGAATTGTTATTCGAGTAAATACGTTTCCGTTAATCGCGAATAAATTGTGATAGTATAGTAATAGTATTTTTATTCGTTATTTTCATTATCTAAAGTAAACATCAAGTAAAGTAAACAAACGGAAATCTAACAATGCAGTATCAAAATTACTTAATTTTTATAAGAATACACAATATTTTTATTCCAATATTATATAATATACAGCTAATTGAAAGTTGAAGAATATATACAAAATTTTATTACTATATAACACATAAAAGATACAAAAAGTTTTTAAATAATTTCAAGCATAATAGGAATTTTAAATATTTAATAGATAAAACAATACTTTACAAATGTAATCTAAAATACTTGTCTTGATTGCTAAACTTTCTCGAATCCATTATCTATAATAACATCATTCAAATAAAATTAATATTGACTATGTCTAACGAATTTATATAGTAATAATTATGATAATTTATTTGTAAAAATTTTATATTTAATATAGAAATAAAATAAATAATAAAATTTTATATTTAATATAGAAATAAATTATTATTATTTTATTACTACTATTATTATTACAGGAAATTCGAATTAATATTTTAATTAACTTAAAATTGAATTGACATAACTGTCAGATTATAATTGACAAGCTGACGTGATTTTAAGTCTGTTTTTTTAGCTAAACTGTCTGAACTAGTACACACTGGTGCAATAGAGTATATATTTTGTTTGAATGTATTTATATTTTTGTTGAATATATTTTATTTCACTCTAACTTATTGCATCAATTTGCACCAGTTCAGATAATTCGGTTAAAAAAACAGACCTTCCCGGGAAAAAAATTTCTTATATTAATTATATGAAATTATATCATATTATGTCACATCATGTCCAATTTGATATCATATTATGTATGAATTTTGCACCCTGATATGAATATATTTAACAAAATGTAAGTAGATAAAAATGTTATTTATGTTCAGATCTGGATGCATCTGAGAAACCGAGCACGTAAAAAATAGGTCTATGCAGTATTTTATGCAGTCAGATCTATTATGTATATTGTTGGATATGCTCATATCTGACCATATTACTCCACATTCATATATACAATCGGATCAGATGATATCTGATTCGATATAATTTGATTTACTTCAACAAATTAAATATCTACTGTTTTAGAAGTGACCCAGATAGCTACACTTGAGCAAGTAAATTTCACGCAAAATTTGCTATCAAGTTTTTATGGCTAATGGGCAACAAATTTGATGTAGAATCTATATTATTTTGCCAAACTATATTCTTTTGCCAAACTGTCACCAAATATATATCAGAGCTTGCTGTCTGGCAACTTGTAACAAATTTGCGTGCAATTTGCAATTTATTTCATAATATTCTCTATTATATACAGTCTGACGCAAGCTGTATCAATAACATAAAATGCATAAAAAACATTAAAAGGAATGGTCGAAGTCATTTTGCAAATAATCACATAAACTTTAAAGATATTAAATAAAATAGATAGGCGAATTAATGCACGTATTTGCTAAGTACGTTATAATATATTGTGAACACTATAAGTATACATTATATAAGTATAAATTGTAAGAATATTGTTGGAGTCATTAGAGGCACTGCGTGTGCGCTCGATCGTCAGGTTTAAGTAACACTTTAACGCAGTCAGGATATGGATGGGTAAACCGACATACCGCTTCGGATTCAAAATTATCGAGGGAGGATTCACGAAAGTTTTAAAGTGTATTTGACAATCTTCGGTTCCTAGCAGTTATGAAACATGAGAAAATTAGGAATTAGTTTTTTTTTCGTTACGCGGAAAACTTCTAAGCGGACATTTTTACATTATATCAAGATTTGTGCAACGTTGATTCAATGTTTTTCAATGTTACTGAAATATTGACATTGTTGCAATGCAACATTTTTTCAATTTTCAACATTGATTCAACATTATTGTGCTGTATGGGATATGATTTAAATGTGCGTGCGTGCGTGCGTGCGTGCGTGCGTGCGTGCGTGCGTG